GACTGAAAATAATGTTGCTTGAAAGACTTTTATGGCAGGCATTAGAAAATTTTCTGCAAAAATTAAATTAAGAACCAATGAAGCGGGTATTATGGTTGGATCTCTTCCAAAAATCAGAAAGGTGGGCTTGAAGAAAGGTTTCTTGGAATGAAAATTGGAATAATTTCTTCCAGCAGGTGTGAAAGAAAATGAGTTCAAGTTTTATCATTAGGATAAATCTCCAAGATCAAGTTTTTGATTGGTAGAACAATCCTTATTGAGATGATTCAGTTGTTTTGTTATCCTTGGAAAGAGGAATACTCTTTCCTGTAATTTAGTTTATCCTTGAAAAGAGGAACACTCTTTTCCAGTAAATTAGCTTCTGTGGAAATATAGCTTATTTCACAATTCAAACATGCTGTAAGAGTGTAAGTAATGATGGGCTGACCTTCCCAAGAATCATTATTCTTGTGAAGGTTTCCACTCTCTCCTGCAAAGTGATTAGTGGTGTAATATAGAGTGTAATATGTGATGTGATACAGTGATTGCACACTGTATCATTAGTCTGATATATGCCCCAGTAATAGTGGCAGCAACCTTGTCCTCAAGGATTGTGCCACAAAGAATACCCTTTCCTATTCTATTCTGAAGTAGTATATAAATGCCAGGATTTTCCTCCTGCTCTTAAGAACCATTCTAGAGTTGAAACAGGAAAGTAAGGCTTAGCTATCCTAAATACTTTCTTGAAGTAAACTGTAGTTTGTGTTTCTCAGTCCTCTGGACTTGAAGGTTTTATTTGTGTTTGTGTTTGTCTTGTGTTTTGTTCATGGCTGCCAGTGTATAGTAAAGTTGTATATACACTCAACTCACAGGTCTCTTTAAATTTCCTAAGTCTTTGGGGAATTTAGGGGGATAACAGTCTTATCAACAAATTTGAGATACAATTCAAACTTGTTCTCACCAGTTATTAAGACAACACAGATTGCTTGTATGTTAAAAAGCTCAACAAAGTGAATGGATTACCTTTTTAAATTTTTTTACACAAATATATATGCGTTTATACAAATGGCAATTCTCCTTTAAGGAACTCTGCAGAAATTAATCTACAGTGGAAAAAGTTGAGCACAAAGTCTATACTTGTATAAGGAGAACACCCATCTAATACATGTCCTTTCTTTCTCCATAGCTTGCTTTTTAGCTCTTCTCATCCACCTTCAGTTGGAATTCCTAGACTATTTGAAAGAAGTACAGCACTAAATTCAGTGAGATCCCCACATTTAGAAGTTCTGACATAAGGACACTCAAAACTCAAGAAAATCAGATCTAGCATCAGAAAAATGGCTCAAGATAAAGACACACACTTTGCTATAACATTCTCCAGATAAATCTCATTCACTCTCTGAGCACTTCAGTCCCAATCTGGTACCAGCTTTGTTGAAGCATATGGCTTCCTTATTGAGATAAGGAGATGGTTCATAAATGAAAGCCTGATGTTCAACATGTGGTATTGCAGTTGTTCCATTGATCTGTTCCTGTTGTATCCCACTGACAAAGGGATCGCTACTTACCTGGTTGGAGATTATGCCATAAAAAGGTGACTGTATGAGACTAAAATGTGTCTTTATTTTGGCCCTAATCTGGTATGGTGACCAATGGTTATAGTTATATGAAATTGAAACCCTTTTATTGTCCTTCAGGTTTGACTACAGTCTTCCATTCAGTTTGTGTTGGGCAGAATTCCTAAACCTGTTGGTGAGGGTGACTTGTGGTGTGGAAAGGTACTTGACATGATGCTTATGGAGAATGGCAAATACCCCAAGCCAAATGGGTTTCTTATTATAGATCGACCTCTCAAGGGAAATATCCAATTGGTTCCCATCCTGTGCAGGCAAGAAAAAACTTTCAAAAGTTATTACCAAAAAGCATAAACCATTGATTACATCATCTCATAGGTACTCAACTGGTCATCTGGAAACATGAGAACTGTCTCAACCATACAAGGACTTGGGGTTTGAAAGCATACATTCAGACTTGGATTACTCAACAATATCCATCCAGGGATTCAAGCACATGCACATTTCAGGAATAAGTTCCCATACAAAAAAAACTGGATAGTCTCTGAGCAATATACTCACCACTGCATTCAATCAGGTTTCCCCTGACACTTTACTTTTCTTACATGTATATTTGCATAAATTGATGTTATGATGTCATATGTTATGTCCATTCCTTTTGTTGTGAAATTATTTCTAATAATCAAACAGTTTTGCATGAAGATCAGAGTTTTGAGTGAAAACCTTTCTATTCACAATGTTCTACTTTACTTATTAAACTGCTTATCAAAAATAAACTTTGTGTTCAACCTTTTCCAACCAAGATTCATGAACTTCTACCTGCAACTGTACTCAAATATACAGTGAGACCCCCACATGCACACACCTCAATATGGGGACAATTTGACATAGGGACATTTATTTTTGAATAACAAAATCATAAAAATGGCCAAACATACAGCAGACACTGACTCAACATGAGGACATTGCATGATAAAATTACCAATACATTTTAGGAAAAATGACTTTTATAAGGCTTAATTGTGAGATACAGATACTTTCAACCACAAGATCTGTGCAAGAAAAATTCTTTGGTACTTTACCCATCACTTTCCCATCCATTCAGCTGACTTGAAAAAATTACCTGTAGTACAGAGGGACTCCCTTCTCTCTTTGCAACTTGGATGTTATTTTTACANCAGATGCCAAAATTTCAAGGAAATGTACAGTGGTATACTATTCAATGCTCCAAATGTTCTTATTGGGTTGAAAAAATATTCACTGCATCAAATTCAAGCAGGAACATTTTTTTCATGGAATTCTGGAGAATATTTCTTTCATAAAACACCAATTAAAAATTATATAATGTAAGTCTATGGAAAAACAAGACTTGACTCAGGGACAATTCAACTTGGGGACACTCTGGATGCACCAATTATGTCCACATCTGGGGGTCTCACTGTAATCAATACCTGGCTCAGTTCAGGTGAAGAAACAATTTTCTCGTGGGAATGATGGAAAAATACCTGTTGGTGCTGACTCAAGAGATGGGGGGTTGGAAAATCCTGATCTATTGGGTTCATTGATTTAAAACTTGAAAAAATATGCTAATAACTGCACAGAGGTAGAGTGAGACCAAAAGATGCCAATGTATAATTGGTACTTGGGCCTATAGTATGTTGGATTGTCCACATGTCAGATCTTGTTTTCCTTTAGACTTCAATGCAAATGTATTTAATCAAGATTAAATGATGAACAGGATTGCTATACTATAGTTCTCCTGTTCATCAAAGATCTGTAATATCAAGTTCATCAAAAAATGAATAAAAATGGTTTCCTCCAACTTCAAGGTACAGATCACAACTTGAAGAAGAAAATCACACAGAATCTGATCCTTTGGCATCTAAAGCAGCTCAACAATCAATGAACAAGAGAAAAGTCTTGCTATTATCATGTGCACAGCATCAGATGATACAAAAACTGAAAAAATGAGCACAAAATCAGCCCTTTTTTCTTTATGAATTCAAATAAATTTATCATGATATGTATCTTCATTTTTGTGAACATAAATAGCTCAATTTGTATAAAAGATATGAAAATGTAAAAAATAATTTTCAAGATTTATCTGGAGAATGTTATAGCAAAGTGTGTGTCTTTATCTTAAGCCATTTTTCTGATGCTAGATCTGATTTTCTTGAGTTTCGAGTGTCCTTATGTCAGGGCTTCTAAATGTGGGGATCTCACTGAATTTAGTACTGTACTTCTTTCAAATAGTCTAGGAATTCCAACTGAAGGTGGATGAGAAGAGCTAAAAAGCAAGCTATAGAGAAAGAAAGGACATGTATTAGATGGGTGTTCAATTGAGAAGAACCCCATCAACAGTTGACCTTCATAAAAAAAATAAACCAAGCAAAATGCATCAACAGGACAAAACAGTTTTTTAAAATATTGCAATGGGAAATTCTTCCAAGAATGAAAGCAGCAAAAGACCCAAGAAAATTTTAAACAAACGAGCAATACAAAAAACTCCACTGAAAATTTTTGTAGAAGTTTATCAGGAATGTTGAGGGTTGAAAAGGACCAATTCATTACTGGGTATGATTAAAAAAAAAACACCTCACTCTCAAGCATATACTGATTCAGTAGCAGATTGCTAAACAATTTTAAAGATTGGCATATTGGTACTTGCTCAAAGGTGCCAAACTCACCAAACCCAGCACTGTCAGAAGGAAGCGCGCCTTTGTTCAAAGCAGTGCTTGTTTCTTGAAATTTCTCAACTACAACATTTCAAGGACTCAGAGAATTCAATTCAGAATTTAATGGTGCGTCCATTAGGGGCTCCTGACCACTCAAGGACTGATGGCTGCATTTTAATCCTATTCCATCCACAAGACTCACTGAAATTCTCTTGAATTATGTTCTTCCATTATTTGAATGTGAAACTATCCCATCTCCAGTGTTCCTGCAATCAAGTATCCATGGAAGGCATTTGGATATCAACATACAGTGTTACCTTTAGTATAAATGACACATTTTTTTTTCAAAATTGAAAGGGGTAAGAGTGGTACACATTGGCATATACTGTATAAATTTAAAAAAAGGGGGATCAAACTTGTCGGCGTGCATTTAATTTGATTCTAACGGGAATTTTGGACGGAAAAACTTTTAATGAAAATCATAGAAGATTATTTGAATTTCGGTTTGATTTCTGTTCAAATCTTGGCGTTCTTATTTTCTAAAAATTGCAGTTCTAGTCACTAAAATCAGGGTGCATGTCTTACTAAGAGAACATGGTACAGTACCAGAGTAAAAACGGTAGTTTAAAGCACTGTACTATATGTATGTTTCTTGAGAACTTCATGCTTGAAAAATCGATTTTAAAGACTTAGGTTCGAAAAAAATTAATAAAACCTTTTCTTTGAATTACGCCATCATTTTATTCCGTAACGAAGTACAGCGAAACAGGCTTCATCGCTTTCCACCAACGCGTGGCGCCCCCTTCTGCACAGGCTTCACCGTCTTGGTTTTCGGCGCCGTCGTTTTCGCCGCCTTCGGCGGGGCCTGCGCCGCCTTTTTGGTCGCCTTCAACGTACGCGTCTTCTCCTTGGCCGCGCGAATAGCGTGCTCTCGCTGCGCCTTCCTGAACTCCGGCTTCTGGTTCCTCTTGGCCATGATGTCCGTCAGCGTGGCACCAACAATGGCGCGCTGGAACTTTGTGGTCTTGCGGGTCTTCTTCTTGATGGTCTCCTCTTCTTGGCCCTTCTTGTGCTTCCGGCGGTAGAGCACAGTCCACGGGACTTCGCGCGGGGACCGACGCAGCATGTGGGCAGCTTCGCACTTGGAGTTGAGAAACTGGAAGATTTTCCCGTCGGCTTTCACCATGCGTTTCCCATGGCCAGGGTAGATCTTGTACCCACTAAACGAGCACTGCTCGATCTTCATTTTTCCCTACGCAATTCACAAGGCAACTCGCGAAAAAAACTGAAATCAAAGGAGTAAGAACATTCACAATTATTCCCATGGCCAGGGTAGATCTTGTACCCACTAAACGAGCACTGCTCGATCTTCATTTTTCCCTACGCAATTCACAAGGCAACTCGCGAAAAAAACTGAAATCAAAGGAGTAAGAACATTCACAATTGCTCCAATGAGTCGATCGATCGATCAAAAGCTAACCAGCCGAATGCCAATTATTTCCAACCAACCACAAGAACTGCAATGGCAAGAATGAAATCTGACCCAGAAAGTCATTTCATTAAAGGGGAACGCAAAACCGAATTTTTAAACCTTGGTAGGGAACATACAATTTCAATTTTGTGTGGACAGAAAAAGAATATCATAGTGCAAGAAGTGAAAAAAATCTCGACAACACCTCGATAAATGTCATTAGTCTTATGCTTGCTCCCCGCGAAGTCCAGGCGGAAAATTATTGGGATTTTCGGCGAGAAACTAGAATTCTGAAACTGTTCAACTGTTTTCACATAAATTTTCAAGCATACATTCAAACCTCTCAGAAATATTTACAGTACGTTTATCGAGTATATCAGCGCGTTCATCGCTCAACAACGTTTACTCGAAGGATTGATCGATTGTTTTGGCATGCGGCTGAAGACTGTGTACAAAAAAACAAAAAGAAAATCACAGCAACCCAACAAACTCTCAACGATGTTCTCAGACACTATTCCAT